CCAGAGTACTCAATTTTCTCATTAAAGCTGAAGACTATATGATGAATTCCAAGGATAATGAAATGCAAAAGTAACAGAAGTAACAAAGCTTTTTATATTATTTAGTGCTTTTCAGACAAGAAAAATATTAATTAAACTGTTTGAAATACTCAATGAATTAGGCAAAGTGGGCACTTAAGATCTTAACACTAACCTAATGTTAATTAAATTCAATATTTAAGTAAAATTTCACCATTATTATGTTTGTATCAAAATTACTCACTAAGAATACTCCCTGCTGGCTCTGAGCTCCAGAGCATCCATCTATTATTTCAAAAACTCCACTATATTGTTACCAGTGTTCTGACACTGTAAAAACACTGCTTAATTTCACAAAAAAAAGTCAGATTTCTTAGGTGATGCTGAGTCATTCAAAATGCCTGTTCATTTCTTTCCGTAAACGCATACTTTAAATAGATTTAAGTAATCCAATAAAACCAAATATATCTCTCAGTTGCAGCACCCATCATATAGGCCCATTGCTATCTTCTTGTTTATTAAATTGTACATAATGAGATTGATATCCACTCACCCAGGTCAGACTCTGTTGTCATGCTCAAAGGGCCATTTGAATATATATATATATATATATATATATATATATATATATATATATATATATATATATATGTACATCTCTAAGTTTAGTGGAGAGGCAAATGGAAAATGTTTCTCAACATCAACCGCTAATACCTCACAGACATTTCTTGTCCTAGAAAGAAATACCTCAGGGATCTACAGGCTAATTCCTGACCCTCTTAATGATAGTACTATGGTTTATTATTCCTGCATTTGCCCAATTGCTGAACATCCATTATACTTTCATGTACAAAGGTCTCCTTGGAAGTGTAAATGTTGCAGCATTTTGATGATGCAGCTTCAAAGAAGCTGAAGGTCAGAAAATAACCTGAGCTCCAGTGTTGCACTGATCAGTTTACAGAAGGAAAAAAACCCAAACATTTTTTGAACAAGCAGGATCATTTCATCACAGTTGCAGATAAACACAGAATAATGACAAAGGCTGCAAGACCTTTAAACCTCATAGCTAGAAATGACCTGATACTTCTTTCTGTTTGCAACAAGTCGTTAAAAGACTTTTCTGGTGTTGAAAGCAGAGCAAGGATCTGGACTGAGGCTGCACTTTTTCATTCATCTCATAGGCTCATTAGCCTTTTCTGGTCTTGGTTGCCTCTTGGCTGATAATGATGTCACTCTTGGTACCTCTCTTTAGAATTCTCACGTGTTGGTAACTTGTTTTTAAACAGCAAGGATGGTGTATTATGATCTCTCTCCCCTCACTGCAATACTTACGATAATTACAGAAGCATTGAAACAACAGTTGTAGCAATCAAGGGAGTAGGAAGATACTCCGACACTCACTGGCTCTTAATAAAACCTGGACTTCAGTAGGTAAAAGATGAAATAGATTAATTTTACCCACTGTGTGAGAAGACCAGCATTTCTATGGTATCTTTACATTATGGATAGGAAAAATTTACATTTCACCGTGTAATTCCTGCTCTCAGTGCAGGACTGCTCTCCTTTTCACCTACTGCTCCAGTTTACCCAAGAACGGCATGTTGATTTTGGAGAAAGCAATACAAATCACTGTCCACATAACTGTAATCCTAGGTTACAGCTTTATGTAACTTTGTTTACTTACTATGTTTCCTTCTGAGTTGTGATTTCTGGAAAATGGATAGAAAGAGCCAAGCTGCATCCAGCGCAGGCAGAGTTCATAGGTAGTGTTGTAGTTAAAACCACAGATATCAGCACCAATCTAAAGAAAAATAAAATTATGTTTGTGATTGTGACTGAGGCCCAAAAATGAGAGACTACAGGAATGTGCAGAAATAAAAATAATTTTTGGAAAGAAATCCCTGTTTCTAATTACTTTATAACAATGTTCCATAATTATATACATTTTTCTGTGACTGAGGTTGTACTGTCTCCTAGAGCACTAAGTTCACTGTGGACGATCTGACAGTATTTCAATAATTCTACAAATTCTCCATCCCAACTTGCAAACCCAGAAATATATGAAGGAGCCCTAATCATAGAGTACACAATACAAAGAGATCAGTTTTGGATGGCATACATTAAGTCAGTCTGAATCTTGCAGTGCTGTTTTTGTTTCCTTTCAGCAGCCAAGATTGACATTTAGCCTTTTAATCTGCGGTTCCTTAGGCTGTGGAGGCTGTTACTGCTGGCCATCCCAAGCCACTTGTTTCAGAAAACATTTGAGTTAATTTGAAGTGATATTGTGTATAAGCCAGCACCTGCCTAGAGGACACCAGACTTACATAGGGAATGCCAAAGAGGTTGAATTCCAGGATTCCAATGATTGAGCGGTGCAAGTCCTTCCACAGAGAAAAGTTGTCACCAAGCCAGTGACCACCGTGCTTCCCACTGCCAACGAACGTGGACCGAGCCAAGACAAATGCCCGCTTGCCAGTAGCCTGCTGGACAACACTGCAAAGAAATGCAACAAGATCATCAAAAACAAGAAAGGTAACCAAAACAGCTTAAAATCATCCTGAGCATTCAGGCACAATTTTATCTGAAAGGGTATTATTCATTAAACAATTGTTGTTGCGATCCCTACTCACATGAAAATGTGACCGCAAAACTGCAAATAAAAGGAAGATTTACACAGTGGCCAAAACAAAATAAAAAACCAAAAATCTATCTGATTCACGAAATTATTTTTCTCAGGTATTTTTAATCTTCCTAAATAAGAATTTGTGTTTAATTTATTCACAGCAGTGTCTTGAACTGAAAATTCAAATCATAAATTCCTTTCTATACTAGTATATTTAATTAAGTGTCCAATGAGTTCCTAAAAAGAATATAATAGGTATTTTTTTTCAACACAGGATTTATTTAGAGATTTGTATTGGTAAATAAAGTTCCAATACCAGGAATTAAAAACATAAAAAACCTCAACAAAAATCAAAACTAAAAATCCAAAACCACACAAAAATACTAAAAGTATATCTAAACATCTTATAAAAAATAAATAATGTAGAAAACAAACCTGTAAGTATTCAAAATGCCACCCCCTCCTTGTAGTATTTTTTTATGGTTGCCTGTCTTTTTTGATATATGAGGTTTCATTACAGAATTAGGGGCACAATGAATTTATCTTTGATTTTTGAAAATAATTTTGCTGTATCACCAGAAAATCAAGGGAATGTGTCTTACTAACAAATCTGTCACAAAATTCCTCAGAATAGGATACTCTTTGTACAGAATTGTAAATTGCAGTATTTTATATTGCAGGAAATCAAGTTAAACTCTTCTTTAATATGATTTGGGCAACACAATTTAGATTCTCTGGGAAATTCTAGCATGAAATATTAATCATCACCATCTACTTCTTTCTCCCTTTTCTTAATGAGATTTCATCAAGAATTCTTCCACCTGTATTTATAATGGCCCAGTGTTTGCTTTTGGGTCTGAGACTTAAAAGTGCTTCCACACTCGCTTCTGAAGCAAAAAACCCAACAGCTTTCATGGAAGACTGAATGTATTAACTTTGGGGCCTCATGCAGCAAGAGGTGCAGTTCTTTAACCGTGAGGGACCTGCTGGTTCTGGTTTGCAGGTGCACTGTTGGGCCAATAACTGCACAAGGCTCCATGCCCTTTGTATAAATGTTATTTTGGAGCTTTTCATG